AGAGTGGGCGCAGCAGGAAGGTTCCGGCATGAACCTTAGGGATACAGAGCACCGGGCTGAGGCAGGACTCACTCACTTACTTTGTAAGGCACCGGAGAATCAATTAGTTCAGGCTTTGCAGGTCGTGTGGTTTCTGCCACAACTTCTCACTTCTGTCCTCAGAGCACAAGGCAGTCAAAGACAATACTGACATGAATGGGCGTGGTTGTTAACCAGAAAATGTTATACATAAAATATTACTGTATGAACAGCCTGGGCGGGGGAGGCGGTGGAAAAGATGATGCTGAGAAGCCACAGAGGGTCCAAACAAGGGAAACACAGCCAGGAAGGAGGGACGGTCACAACTATTCCCATTCCATCGACAAGAACCTCGAAGTGGTGGGGCTGAGCCACAGAACACACTATTCTTAACGGTGCCAGGCTATTGCTGCCCATAACTCTGAACAAGTGAGGCAAGGAATCACCAGACTTGTGAGAGGCAACAGTCATGACAGGATTTCCATGTGGCTGAGGGGAGGTCATAGGAATTCTATCTACCCTGATCTGTCCTCAAGGCCCTCCCCACAAGAGGGCCCTTAGAGGTCAGGCCACCCTCTGCCCAGCTCAGCCACAGCCAGCTGCACAGCACTGAGGAGCCCCACTCACAAACCACAGCCCAGCGAGTGAAGTGGGTGGGGCGGCCTGGAGCTGGACAGGGAGGGCCAGGCAGTTCTCTCCAGCCACCTCTGGGTCCCAGGCAGGTGACTTAACCTTTCTGTGCTTCAAAAGGGATCACGTGCTAGTGCTGTCTGAGGGCTTTTGTAAATACATACTTGCTTAATCCCCACAAAGTGCTTTGAATAATGCCTGGGACCTGTCTGCTAAATCAAAATACTGAATCCAGGCACTGAGCCAGGTCTCAGGGGAGAGGGCATGAAGTCATGAGGTGTCACTGCCTGCTGGCGGCTCACACGAGCTCACCTCTAACCAGGCATTCATCACTGGAATAAATGGCCCTTTTCCCTGTCTCTCAACACAGACAGGGACCACATTTTATGTCTGGATCTTCCAGGACTAGCACTGTGGCACCTCATAATTGATATTCATCATGGGCAATGTTTGCTGAATAATACAGAAGTCCCAACAGTACAATTTCCTCCGCTACAGATAATCAAGCACCTATGCTTGCCTTTGCCTGCTCAGTGACCTTGGATTTCTGCTTCTTCATGTTGTTAGGGGGCTGAAATTGATGTTTATGAAAGTCCTTCGCAGATCTGCAGGCCTGTTAGCAACAGAGGTGACTCCATATCACCTCCAGCATAGGAGCGGCATTGGTTGGGGACTGTGCCTCGTGGGCCAGTGGCTTCTAGCTTGGATGGCCACAGATAGACGTCAGCAAAGGGCACACAGTTGATGAAGTTTTTAAAAGTTCTCCCTTAGACTGAGGGAACCCCTTTCATTTATTCATTCATTAGTGCATGTCCTGCCAACTGAAGCCACATGGAATAAACTCAAAGCCACTTCAGCATCTTAATTCTGATGTTAGCTTATTAACACATCCCCAAGAGAAACCTGCCGGGCCTCACAGCAGGGCCCAGCACTAAGGCGCAGGCTGCTAGACCTGCAAGAGTGGCGCACTTGCTGCCCCTAATTGGTAGCGAGGGTTGAAGTGACCATCCCGGCTGGTCAGCCATGGCAGAGGCAGGTCTAGAATGCAGGGTGGCCAAGTACAGCTTGGCGTTCCTTATGCCCATCATGTTGCTTCACTTGCCTCACCTGCCTTTCCTTCCCATCATGCTCTGAAGCACTGGCCCTTGGGCCTCTCCCTACCCAACAGCTCTCATCCTGATGGAAAACAGTCCAGGCTGATGGTGCAGGCCAGGCTAAGGCATCCTCCACCTTTCCGGGAAGGCAAAAGGTCACACTTTAACTTACTGCCCTGCCGGGGACACTTGCCAGTAGTGAGGAGGCTTCCGATTTATTTCCCCTTCTGACTTTGTCCACAAGACAAGCTTTGTGACCGCGAGAGGGAGGGCAGCGGGTGAACCTTTGGCAACTGGCTTCAGCCCCTGGCAGGGAAGGGCCTGTGCAGAGTATCAGGTAAGAATCCTGACCAGGGCCTGGCCCAGCCTGCAACTACAGCTTTGCTTCCATAACTCATGCTCCTCTCAGGATGGCTCAAGAGTAACTTGGGTTTGCTTACTGCTAGGGAGCTCAAAGTCCTTTATGACTTCTGAAATCCAGACAGGTCAGGAGGCTGCGAGCTAGAGTACAGAGAATGGTAACTTGCCTAACTCACAAAGCAAGGTGATGACAAATTAGTAAAAACACCCATCTCCCCTCTCATTCTAGTTGTTTATGCCATAGTTGTGCATGTATTTCGGTAAACATAAGGACCATCTACACAGCAGGAGTCCAGGTTATACCTCCAGAGCGGTTATAAAGAGGGAGGGATGTGGTTAGAATCTCTAAATACTCAAAGCAGTTGTGTAGGAGCCTGAGAAGGCTGCCCCCATGGCTGTGTGACCTTGAGCAGGTTACTTAACATCTCTGAGACCTGGTTTCCTCAGTCTTATAATAAGAATAATCACAGTACAAGGAAAAGCCTCCTTCTTCAAAGTTTGATCATTTGCACCCCAGGGAGCAGGTTGGAAATGCAGAATCAGGGATTTTCCCAGGCCTGCAGGATCAGAATCTATCTTTTATCAAGAGTCCCAGGTGATTCTAAGTATATTTACATTTGAGAAGCCAGATAAAAAGCATTTATCACATGCCCACAGTAGTCAAGTCAACGCCCAAATAATAAACACGAAAGAACCAAGGCTTTCAGGAGAAAACAGTTCAAAATAGGTTTTCTGGAAGTAGTAGAACTTGAGCCCAAGATTTGAGCCCAAGATTTTACACACCATATGCCCTCTTTCCACTTAAGACCTAACTCTCCACAGGCACAAAGCTAATGCAGGTGTTCTAAGAAGTAAAACCCTGTGTTATTTTGAAATAACATCCTGGTCCTGGTGTGCTCC